GCTGCCCAGAAAAACAAAGACCAGCTGGGCACCTGGAAAAGATACTTTCCCACAACTGCCTACAGGCTGTGAACTGTGCTCCAGGTTCCCAGCGTTTGTAAGCAGCTGTCACCCATGTTGGGATGGGCCTTGGTGATCCAGATGTCTCTTAGTCATTTGTGCCCCTCAGAGTAGCCCCTCACCCATACTTCTATAAACCGCCCCAATAAAACCAACTGATTCACTAAGTTAGACTTTGGTGATGTCTGTACTTTGGTCTGTCATCAGTTCCTTATCACAGGTGCGGTGCATTTACAGGGAGCATCAGTCACACATAGATAGTCTTAAATTTCTATAATATCGATATAGAAATAAAAGTGCATTCTCAAGCTCCAGGAGTTCACCGCAACTAAGGAAACAGGCATGAAGAGGATAGTGGCAATTTGTAGGTGCGTTAATTTCTCTAGGAGAGGTGTGTTCTCAGAGAGCCACCAACAACAGATCAAACTAACAATCTTGCTCAAGTCTAGCTTAGTGAACCAGGGATTTTTATGGTAATTCATGAGCTATCATGATGAGTACGGGTGAAGGATTATTTACAGGAGCATGAATGATCCCCAAATCTCTGCATCACTCAATGATTCTACCCCAGAGCAAATGACAGCTTCATCTTAACTGCTCAGGTGGAGTTCCCATTCAACTAACCTTCCAACCTCTTTGCACTTTTGAACATCCTAGGACCATGTGAAACTCGGACAGAATTACACATGGCTGAGGTGGGGGACAGGAAGGAGTGGTTGGAGTCTCATGTGGGTGTCTAGTGATCTTCTCACACCCTCTTTTTATGAGCTGACGTCAATAGACCCAACCTTGCTGATGGTTTCTTGGAGGTAATCGCTGTTGTTCCGAATTAGACGTTAATGACTATTATGCTTGGAGGAGCATCATGCAAGAATAGGGTTGGAAATAAAATGAACAGGTTCAAGATTTGAGAGACCACACAATAATTAAGCAAAGAGAAGTCATAAATTTTAGCATGAACGAGTGGGGGTGCATGAGAAGAATTAGAGGGAGGAAACATAAGGGGGAAGCGATATATTTAGTTTCAAAAAAGATAAAAATATTTTTAAAAGACAACAGCTTGTCAGGCTTTTAACATCATCAAGCAATTCTAGTCATCTATGATCCCTTACATATTTCCTGAACATAGCCAGGGTGTCGTACATATGGTGACAGTACTCTTTATGTCCTGACTCACTACACTTGGCCCAGTCTTCCACTTGGGTCAACTCGGTGAGCTGCACACATGGTTACAGTAAGCAAGGAAGGAAGAAGGACTTCTGGGAAGCTTCCAAAACCAATGTCCCTGGCAATGCAAAATGACTAAGGGTGGTTATGCAAACAGCTTGCAAACAAAGCCAAAGGAAGACAATATGCCCTTCAGACAGAGCTCTCCAGCCACTTAACTGGCAGCCAGTAGCTCACTAGCTAGAGACAGACTTAGTGCCTCACTGAAAAGGAATGTGTTTGAATCAGTTGTAGTAAAAGATAAACAGCTGAGATTGCAGATTGCAGGCTCAGTTGGTAGAGTATTTGCCTACCTACACAAAATCCTGAGTTCAAGCCCCAATATTGTATAAAACCAGTGTGGTAGTGCATGCCTGTAATCCTAGCACTTGGGAGGTAGAAGCTGGAGGATCAGAAGTTCAAAGTCATCTTTAGTTACTTTGAGAATTTGGGGCCAGCCTAGGACACCTGGTACCTTATTTCAGAAAAACAATAAGTAAACAAACAGCAGGTAATGCTGGCATTTCTGTTTGTTTTATCTTAACTACCCTTCACCCTCCAAACTATATGGAAATACTTAGATTATTTTGACGAGGTTATATTTTATGACCCAGGATGATTAGACAGCAATAAAATGCCCTCTGCCCATGACTCAAATGCGGTTTGTCATGTACTCGGTAGCTTAGCAATGTTCTTAATAGACTAAGGACCAGGCTGGACCAGCTCCTCATAAAAAACCTTTGGAACAAAAAGATGTGAGAACTAGATCATTCCTGCAACCCAACCCCACTGAGTCAGTGACCTTTGCAAAAGGAGAAGGGATCTTAAGCTGACCAAACCTGCTTCCTTTCTAGAGTGGACTCATGAGCTCAAAATCCTAACTAAATAGTTGTGAAATACAAACAATTGCATATCCTGAATACCCACTCGGGTTGAGAGTCTTCAGAGTTATTTATCTGTTCTCCTGTCCACTCACCCTTACATCCTCAAGAAAGAACCTAAGATAATTTTTAATATAAATGTCCCAGCTGGAGGGATGGTTTAGTGGGTCGTAGTCAAGCATGAAGACTTGAGCTTGAGTCCCCAGAACCCACATAAATGCTGGGCAGGCATGGCAGCTGTTCTGTAATCATAGGGCTGAGGAGGCAGAGGCAACAGAGAACAACCTCCTCCCCCAGGACAAACTAAGTAGCTAGATTTTCCAAATCATTAAGCTATGAGTTCAAGTGAGAGATTCTGCCTCCATATATAAGATGGAGCCATGAAAGCATACTTCCACAATACACATATACATGCAGTCCTAGACATACCCACACCTGCACATATGTGAGCACATATGTACATATGCACATACAAAAAATGAATTTCATAGATCCTTGAACTAGTCTGGGCATTACAGTTTCGATGCTCAGGTAGCCAGCACATCCATTAATAAAGTATGTCATAGTAAAGTAAATCATTGCCTAAACTGTATGTCTTGTGTGTGTTATAACTTTTGTGACTTATGAGTGTGTGTTTTAAATCCTCTTCAAGTAAAAGATACTTGTTGCAGGGAGGGGGCCACTTGTTTGTCCCGGACCCCCGGCTAGCTTACACTTGAAATAACCACACAGAAACTATATTAATTAAAACACTGCTTTGTCATTAGCTCCAACTTCTTATTGGCTAACTCTTACATACTAGTTTAACCCATCTCCATTAACCAGTGTATTGCCACATGGCTGTGGCTTACTGGAGATTCTAACCAATGTCCATCTCAGGCAGAGGATCCATGGCTTCTCAGACTCTGCCCTTCTTCCCAGCATTCAGTTCTGTTTTCTCTGCCTACCTAAGTTCCACCCTATCAACTGGGCCAAGGCAGTTCCTTTATTCACGAACCAATAAAAGCAACACACAAACAGAAGGAACTCCTATACCAGATACTTGCCCATTTGCCTGCCCTGTCAGTCTTCTCTGGCCCTGCTTTTTCTCCTGATGGGGGCATGTAGTAAAAGGAGGCTGCTTGTTTGTTCCCAGCTGCTCAGCCCCAAAATAATCACACAGAAACTATATTATTTAAACCACTGCTTGGCCAATCACTTAACTGTATTGCTAACTAGCTATTATATCTTAACCCATTTCCATTATTTTATATTTTAAACAAGGCTTGTGGCCTACCCACAAGGTTCTAGCTGACAGCTCGCATCTTTCTCCTCTGGCAGCTACATGGTGTCTCTCAACTCTGCCTTCTTTCTCCCAGCATTCGGTTTAGTTTTTCCTGCCTAGCTCTATTCTAACCTATCACAGGCCAAGCCAACTTCTTTATTCATTAACCAATAAAAGCAGCACATATACAGAAGGACTTCCCACACCAGGGGCAGATACACCCCATTCCACTAAATCACTCAGAATCTTCTTAACCAATTCTCAGAAATATCCTCTTTCTGGGGGTCTACATGTTATCAGCAAGGGGGTCAGAAGTAGAGACACAGCTCCATTCTGTCTTCTGCTGCTGTTTCTGCTGTTTGAGGAATTCCCCTAAACTTTTTAGGGAACTCAGCTTTAGGCTAAACTGGGACTCCTGGTTCTGACACAAAAATGAATTTCAGTACTTTTAGTGATATTTCATTTGTATTTTAATAAATAAAGCTCACCTGAAGACCAAAGCTGGCTTTGAAGTTGGAGTGTGGCTCTCTCCTTCTCTAACCCCAAGCATGCTTATTAAAGTTAAATCCAAAATCTCTGTTTCAGTCAGAAAAGCCATCTGATATGAGACATAAGGATAACAAAAATTTAAGGGCTATTTTATTGCTACTAATCTCATAATCATCTGGTTTTATATTGACTCTTTAACAGCTTTTCTTAAGGTGTAAGTTTTATAAGATTAACATTTATATATTTAAACTTATTGTCATTATAGAGTACTAATTAATTCTAGAAAAAGGTTTCATCTACCTTCCTGTACATGATTTGGGGTTTGAGTCTATCCGTTTTCTGCATAAACCATGACGTCTCCAAAAGGATAGGGCCTCACATGACAATTCTTTCAGGACTATGGTAATACCACTAAACTGAAAAACACCACCTAAAGATCAGTTTGTACTAAAAATTTCTCAGAATAATTTCTAGGTGACTAGCTGAGATGATCTAGCCTAAAAGACTACATAGCCAGGATTTGAGACAAACCCTGCACTTTCCCATTACAGAGATTGAGCAAAAAATGATAACAGCTACCTTTCCCAGGACTTGACAATTAACCCAGGTAACCACAACCTTTATACAGATAGTTTTATCCTGTCTGCCACCTAGAATTATTTGTATTTATTTATTGACCAATTGACCAGTTAGCCAACCTACTTGATAGTAATTTTCTAATCTAAAAGATTGGGCCCTAGGTTCATGGTAATTAAGCTGTCCATCCAGTCAACTATGCATTTACTTGTGAGGCCACCCCAGGACACTACAATTGTGGGGAAGAGACATCAGAGACAGAAAGATATTGAAAAAATCACTCTCAATGAAGGGATAAATTTCTTCTCCTGCCTTTTGGTTTCCTATTTGCTTCATTTATTTATTTCCTGCTTCATTCCACAAAAGCCAGAGGTATCTGAGAGTAACTTAGATACTGCCTCACCAGGGCCAGCTGTCATCTGTCCCAGGTTGGCGGTTTGCCTTGATTTGAAACACTTCCCGTACATAAATCTCAAAGGTCAAAAGTGGAAAGTTCACTGTCTTTCAGAAGATAGTGAGTTTAATTCAGAACCTTCAGTAGCCAAGCGGCTTTCTAGGCCTCAGTCTCTCCCCTTCTTCCATCTCGACACCTCTTCTGCCTCAGCTAATTGCCAGATGGTGGAGCACAGCGTTTCACTGTTTCTTCTTTGGAGGGCTATCCCTCCCAGGTGAGTTAACTGAGCTCATCACTTCAGGAAATAATTATGTCTCTAGAAAACCAATTTTCTTCTTTTTTGGGCCCCTCTCAGGAAGTTTAATAGATGAAAATGAAAAATAATGAAGTGGCTCTTAGTTCGCAGATGTTGTTGTTTTTTTAATATATTGCATTTGTCTGTGTGTCTGCTATCTGCGAGCTTGTGAGACACGGGGTTCTGTGAGGGGAATGTGGGCTTTAGGATCAAGGAGTTTCATTTTAGCCTAGAAGCAGTGTATCCTTAAATAAGTAAGCTAATGTTTGGGAATCTGTATTTTCTTTTCCATTAAAATTGGGAGGGATGGTCTCCTCACACTGTCTGCTTCTTGTCTGTGTCATTGCCCTTGACCCAACAAGCTCTTCCTTTTACCCTCTTCCCTACTTGATTTGAATCTGTCTCATCTGCTATAGAATGAGTGCTATCATCCAAACAAACAGCAGTCAGATGAAGATCAGAAAACTGGCCACGTGCAAGAGACATCTGAGATAAGACTAGCTGACGGTGGATACTCCCTCATAGAAGAGATTCCAGCAGCCCCAGTTTGCGCCTTTTATATGTGATTCTGCCTTAACTGCACAGGGTCTTGAGAATATACTAGAGTATATGGACGTTGAAAGTTGTCTGAGAAACAGGGAGGTGCCATTTTGTATCTCCGGTGAAAAGCCATCATTGTGGGGGTCCCTGAAAGTGCTGTGGGTGTCAATTGATCAATAGAATTAAGAAAGCTCTCCCTGAAAATTGTGATGATTTTTTGAATCTATTTGATCTTGTGGTGGTTAAAGGCACATCTTTTTTATTGTTTATCCCAGGAATGGTTGCTGGAGTACAAAGAGAGGTCTCAAAGATGCCCTATATGATTACTAAAACTATTAATGTTACTGAAAAAATTATTAGAAGAAGTTAATCAAGAGTTGGGTGAATTGAGGAGCAAATTTTACAAAACAGAACTACTATATATTATTTGGTGCTTAAGCACAGTCTTGATTGTTGACAGTTTCTTGGCATATGTTTCTTTAATGTGTCAGATTTTCCCCCCACACCATTGGTGGTAAAATTGATGATTTGCATAAAGAGAGATAAAATCTGTCAAACGACCGTGAATGGCTGTCAAGATCAGCCTCCTCGACGTGAGTTCCAAGGCAGCCAGGACTACTTTGTGAGAATGTGTCTCAAAATAAAAATGAAAAGAAAATGCACAAAGTCGAGAAGAGAAAAGTGCGTCCACACCATCACTTCCTGTTCTGTCTCCACCTCTATTAAAGAGGCAGCAATAGAGGAAAGGACTGTCTTGAACTGTTTCTGCAAAGTAAGAGGGTACAAGGTGCGAAAGCCCATTCTCTTGGGACATGTCCAGAGTGTCTCCCTTTAAGGTCCATTTCTCTCCAGTTGAAGTGAGTATTAATTATCCTTACTGACTTTCTGAGGAGCCACTGGAAGAATCAGAAAAGGAATCTCTATTAAAAGTATAAACTCAGCTGAGGAGAGAGGTTAGGTCCACAGCAACTTCCACCCTGGCAGATTAAAGTAGCTGTATAGCTTGTAGATCTCCGGTGTAGTCAGGCTATGGTGGGGAATGTTTGACTCTGACAAGCGTGATATCAGCCGAGATCTGGACAATCCACTCCCAAGGTAGAAGTACTAGAGCTACGTAGTAAGAGGTATGTGTTTGATTTACGGAGCTCCCAAAAGATTGGGATTTCCTGGGTAATGGTGAAAAGAACATCTATTGTCATCTATAAGAGCCTTTCTCCCGTTCCTTCTTTTCCCTTCAAACTCTCCCACACACCCCTCCCTTTTTCAAACTCATGGACTCTTTTTTTTTTTTTTCATTACTAGTTACGAAAACCAACACAATATGTATTATAAAACTAAAATGTGAGGCCTAAAAGTAATGAAACTACTGAAGGGAAGTGTACAGACATGTGCACGCACACACACATACACACATGCACATCCACGAAACTCCAGCAGATGTATAACTTGGGAAGCAGGTGTGTCTCCTCCTGCCCCATGGTTGTCTTTTCGTTCTGTTGCAGATCTTAGTCTGAGTTAATCCACACGCCTTTTTAGTCTTGTTTCTGTGCTCTCATTTTCATCTTAAAAAAATATATAGTTGCTCAGTTTAGTGCCAAGAATTTTTTACTCTGGTTTCTTCTGCCGGTTCTAATTTCAGGGCTTACATTCAAGTCTGTTATACATTTCCACTTGGCTTTTATGTATGGATAGTGGTCCTAGGAAAAAGCCAAATTTAAATATGGTCTCTTTCCCTGTTCCAAGATGAGAGCTCTGTGCTAACTGCTTTCCAATGTCTGAAAACAGGTTCTTTATAGAATGGCCTGGTTTTATAGTTTTTCATAGCAAAAGGGAAGTCCAATAACCATTTCTCCTCTATGACTGAAACTGCACCTGCATTGGAACATATTACTGTATTCAGACTCATAGCATAAATATAAATACCAGCAGGCCACTTCACAGCTGTAAAGATTAGCCACTTTCCATTATCTTCTAAGACCCTCGAAGACAAAAAGGAGTCGTAATTGCTTTTTTGTTCATAACTCTGACAATTTGGCACACATCAGATCTTCAAGAAATAAACCACAGAAGGTCCCATTGTTCCCTATGTATATGAAAATCTGAATATCTGAAAAGACAAATCAGAGAAATGAAGTCAACTTTTATATATTGGTTAAGTGCTAGGATTTTCCATGAGCCAAAACCTCTTCCCTCTCCCCCCCCTCTCTCTCTCTCACACACACACACACAAAGTTTTATTGAAGCACAGCCATGCTCATCAGTCTAGACGTGCCCTGTCTGCTTGCTCACTGTAGTCATAAGCCCGAATATTTAGTCCTGCGAATCCCACAGTATGTAGTGAATGGTCCTCGACAGAGGGCTATCAGCCCCTGATTGGTGGCGCTGTCGTAGGACTCCTCAACTCATGAGTTTCACAGCTATTCCGGGCAATAAATAAGGTAACTAATCAGAAGCGGATTCTCACACCCTCAAAGGTACTTGCCCCAGGTTCTATGGCTCATAAGCAGCGGAGCACAAATTTGCATTCTGATTTATCAGGCTCTGACTCCCAGGCTTTCTGTTTCTTCTTGTTTTTTTTTTTTTTTAAATTCCCCTTTTATTGAAAATAGTTGCTTTTCTCAAGTAATATGTCCTGATTACAGTTTCCCCTCCCGCTACTCCTCCCAGTCCCTCTCTCCCTCCTCTCCCGCTCCTTTGCCATATCATTAGAAAACAACAGACTTCTAAGAGATAAAAATGAAATATAATGAGATAAAGCAAAAAAAAAAAACTGTCACAACAGAGTTGTACAAGACAAATCAACAGAATAAAAAAAAAAAAACCCACGCAAAAGCCCAAGAATCAGAGACCCACTTATTCACACACTCGGGAATCCCACAAGAACACTAAACTGGAAGCCATAATATTTACACAGTGGACCCGGGGCAGACCTGTGTAGGCCCTGTGCATGCTGCCTTGGTCTCTGCGAGTTCATAGGAGCTTTGCTCAGTTGATTCAGAGGGCCTTGTTTTCTTGGTGTCCTCCAATCACTCTGAATCTTAAACTCTTTCCGCCTCATCTTCCTTGAGGTTCCCTGAGATCTGGAGGGAGGGAGTTGATAGAAACATCAACTTGGGGCTGAATGCTCCAAAGTCTCTCACTCTCTCCTCTTGCTTTTTGTCTGACTGTGGGTTTTTGTATTTTCTCTCATCTGCTATAGGAGGAAGCCTTTCTGATGATCACTGAGCAAGGCACTGACCCATGAGTACAGCAGAATGTCATTAGTAGACTTTTTATCACTATGTTTTATTTTTATTTTTAATTTTTAGACCAGGAGTAATTAGTTTTAACCTAGGTTTCTGCACTATTTGCTTTCAGAGTCCTAGTCACCCAAGCAGTGTCAGATATGGGTTCCATCTTATGGAGTAGGATTTAGGTCAAATCAGAAACTGGTTGGTTACAAGCTTAGTGCCACCATTGTCTTAGCATATTATGCAGGCAGGATAGCATTGCAGATCAAAGGGTTTGTGGCTGGTTTGGTGTTCACAGTTTTCTTTTGGTAGCCTGCGGAGTACCAAAGGCCCAGAACATAGATGTAAAGGCTCTATGTAGGCACCAACCAGCTCAGCGCTTCCATGTTCAGTGAGTTCTGCTGGTGCTGGCTTCAGCACTGGGGCCTTGCCATCAGTTTGTGGAGAGCAAACTATAGACTTGGAAAGAGCCTATGTTGTTTGGGAATTTCCTGGGTTGTTTGGGACACCTTTGGCCTACAGCTCAACTAAATGTGACACAATCTTGTTACAGGAAGCTTCATTTGATGACAAGAGATGGCCAGTTAGGGCTCTGTTTCTCCCATTATTTGGTGGTTTCATTTAGATCACCTTCATGTATGCATATATTTGAGGAATCTTCTACTGTATTAGGTTTCCATGCTACCCTTCAAATGCCTCTTATTTTAACTGGCTCTCCCATATTCCTTCCTTCGTCTCCTCGCACCCCTCCCTACGTGATCCTCCTGTTCCAGCACCCCATTCATCCATAATTATCTATTTTATTTCCCTTTCCTCATGAGTTCTGTCTGCACCCTTTACTCTCTTACCCTTTGTGATTCTACAGACAGTAGTTTGTTTTTTATTGAGTTAATAGCTAATACCCACACATAAGTGAATACATATTATATTGTCTTTCTGGGTCTCAGGATGATTTTTTTCTAAGTTCCATCCATTTGCCTGAAAATATCTTATCATTTTTAAACGACTGAGTAATACTCCATTGTGTAAATTACCACATTATCTTTATCCATTCGTCTGTTGAGAGACATCTGGTTTGTTTCCAATTTCTGGTTATTATGAATAAAGCAACAAGGAACATGGTTGAGCAAGCATCTCTGTGGTAGGATGAAGCATCCTTAGGTGTATGCCCATTCGTGGTATAGCTGGATCTTAAGGTAAATTGGTTTT